TGAGCGTGTTGGGGATGAGGATCAGCAGCGGCGTGTCCAGATCTTTTAAAATGGGGTGGCCCAGGTGAGGCACAATTTTGTGCATGGGTGGCACCAATGGTTATGCTTTTTTTGTTTTACCCCCAAGCCTTTTGTGGACAATGAAAAGCCCATTTAAAGGTAAATTAGTGTGGTGGCACCTGGGGTGGCCAATCAGATTCCAAGCGTGGCATGTGCCACCCCAGGCCACTCCCTGGACACGCCCCTGAGGATCAGGTACTGCACTGTCAGACCAGTTCAGTGAGACCACACAGGAGCCTGGCTGCAGCCTTCTGGACCGGCAGCCTCACTACTGAAGCTTCACACGGCCTGGTGTTGACCAAACCCTAAACTCACCCTAACCCAACACAATCTCAAGGTTTAATGTTTCATATAAGAAAAGGCTTGATCCTCGCCAAGCGTCGGAGCTGAAAAAGAAACAAGTCCCAATCCCAGCATTAATCTGAGCATCAATCCCAAATCTGTGAGCACGGATTGTTCATACGAGACTAGGGAGGAGCTCAAGACCGTGCTGCTCACTGAGAGAGAAAAAAATCACCTCTAAGCACCATCTTACATTGGTGATCTTCTCAGTCCCTACACCCCCAGCAGGTCCCTGAGGTCCAGTGACCAAAGCCTACTGGTTGTGCAGCACCAGGCTAAAGGTCAAAGGTGACAGGTCATCTGCTGCTGTGGCCCCCAGATTCTGGACCTCTCTCCCCCTGAGCCTGAGATCAGTGGACTCAGTGGTCTCCTTTAAACTCACATGCTCAGGCTCTGGTGGGACCTCCTCTTCATCGTCTTCTTCCTCACTAGCTTCTCTTCAGGCTGCTGTTTCTACCAATTCTAATGTTTGTTTAATCTTATTAGAAATGTTTCCTCCCATTTTTACTATGATCATTTTAAACCATTTATTTCTTGTGCCTGTGAAGCTCCTCGTGACTTTTATCTAAAAAGTCCTTCTTTCATTAAAGACTAAGCTTCTCTCCACCCTGGAGAAGAAGCTCAGCTCCTGCTCAGGTCTCCTGGTAATGAGAAGGTTGGAACAGAAGCAGACCCGTACATCTTTACCACACCCATGGGCAGCGCCAGGCCGTAGCTGGGGCAAGATTAGGCCAAGCTGGCTCCCCACCGGTCCATCACTCATCAGAGTCCGTCACCATTACAATAAAATGTTGGTCTAAACGAGAATGACCGGGTTTTAAAAAGTGAGACCCAACGTTCCTGTGTCCTTCACCGGGAGTGAGATGGTGAGATGAGCGAGAAGCGGCTACAGCGTCTACAGGGTTCACGTGTGGAAATTATTGTTTGTTTCTACCTTCATCCTGAAGAAGGCGATGCTGGTAAGAAGATCCACCGTGGACTTCAGGTCACTGAGACGATCTTTGCTGCTCGCTGGGAAGTTATTCTGCGAGGACACGAGCAAATGCACCAGAGTCTAGGAACAGCCCGAGTTAAGAGACAGAAAGCAGCGTGAACTCACTCTGAACATGGAGAGGTCGATGCGGAGGGAGTTGTGCAGCTGATCCAGGAGCTTCACGAATCGATCCCTCTGCGGGAGAGACGAGAGACTTTCACTCAGGGGGTGTGTGTGTGTGTCCTACATGTTGCTCTGGAACAATCAGTTTGTTGATCTTTGCTGGTATAACGCTGGGTCTTCTGTCTCCAATCAGGTCGTTTTACCTCTGGAGGAACGTGGAACACCTGAGGACCAGGTATGTCTCATGTTTGCTTTAATCCTATACTCAGTCTAACAGCTCTCCCTCTGCTGCCTTCCTGTCCGTTTGCCTTTACACAACATCCACACACACTGGTCAACCCCCATTTGGACGGATCATTCAGATACATTCAGGATTTATTTGTTTTTTCCACGGGGGCTCGTCTGTTTTTCATCACCACCTAAGCTAGGTCATAATAGTTGGGGGTAGGGATGGGTACCTTTGACATTTGAATTGATTCGGTACTATCCCCGGTACCTAGGAATCGATACCGGTACTTAACGGTACCAATTTTCGATACTTTTGGGTGTTTAATATCTTAATTCTCTTTTATAATTAAATATATATTTTTCTCAATATATAACCATATTTGATAAATATCACGATAAATAACATACAACTGTTTGTATTTTAACATCGTCCTTGTAGTTTTATAAGCTGATAATTAAACTGAAGCAAACATCTTTACTGTGAACTAAATTTGCTGTGTGCCTTCATTCCTTTTGCCGTCCCTTTTCGTTTGATTTTTCCTACTGGGAAGCTAGAATTTCCAAGGAGAAAACGAACGCACCATTAGCTAATAACAATGGTGGCAACGGAAGCTAACATATCAAGCTAACGTTATCTTAAACAGTTTATTTAGCTGCTGGAGCAGATTAAAACGATCATGCCTCACACTTAGATCGTTGTCACTGGTTTCATCTTCACCCAGTCACCCGTCGCATTTAGTAAAGTGAAGCCAAACTTTAGAGCACGTTCATGTTCTTCTAGTCGGAAATTCGGAGTTCCGAGAAGAAAGCGAACGCATCATTAGCGGAACGGAAGCTAACATATCAAGCTAACGTTATGGTAAACATTTTATTTACCCACCGGAGCAGATTAAGATGAGGATGTCTCACTTAGATCGTTGTCGCTGGTTTCATCATCACCCAGTTACCCATCACATTTAGTGAAGTGGACCCAAGCGTTAGCGTGCATTCTTTCTACCGTGCTGCTCTGTTTACAACTGGCTCGCAGCGACCGACGACATAACGCTCTTGCGCATGCGCAGCTGTCTAGGCAGGTTCTCGTTATGAAGGAGGGGTACAGAAAGGAGGCACCGTTTCAAATGACGTGAATCGGTGCTCAGTCGGTACTGTGGAATTCAGTCGGTACCTTAAAAAGTACTTAATTCGGTACCCATCGCTAATCCACACACACTGGTCAACCCCCATTTGGACGGATCATTCAGATACATTCAGGATTTATTTGTTTTTTTCACGGGGACTACTCTGTTTTTCACCACCACCTAAGCTAGGTCATAATAGTTGGGGGCCTGTCCGGGATAAGCTACTATTTTTGAATTTACTGGATAAAAATGCTGAAAGGTGAACTTCATAAAAATGGCCCCAGGCTGATTTATAACTCCTTCACAATAAAAGACCTGAGTAAATGATTGTGATTTAAAATAGCAACACATAAAATTTGAGGTAATGACGTAAAATCTCTTCTCTGATTGCAAAGACAGACTAAGAACAACAACGCCGACTTGATGCTGGAGCCCTGCAATGGGACTGGGGCAGCTAAGAAGAAAACAGAAGAAGAAGAATAAAGTTGAGTAAAAGTTGTTTACGGTGAAGCATCATAAAATCGGAAGCAGGTAAAACACTGAAACCATCGCTAAAGTGTCTAAATGCGTTAGGCATCACTTCTGGTGTGGCTGATGGAAAGGTTTCTCTTAATGTCAGAGTAAAGTATCTCAGAGACGCTTTGGCACAAATGAATGAATGAAACTCAATTAGCATATAAAACAGCTGCGTTTCCTTCTGTCCACCCATGGACGGACCAGGAGATCAGACAACGGTCCGCTAGTCAAAAATAAATCTCACTGGTTTCCCTTTTCCTAAAAATCATGAAGAAACGAGGGAACCAGGATCAAAGCAGTCCGCTCCGAAAGGCTGACACGAGCTGGAGCCACTGGTGGTTTTCCCTCTGCTCCTTTTTAGCTGCTTCCCTCCACAAACGAGCCCGCGGCATCCCTGTAAAGCCTCAGTTAGAATCCGGCAGCCGGAGTCACGACAATCCGAGGAGAGATTTTCTCTGATGGTCAGAAAACAAGGAGCTGAACGAGGAGGATGAATCCTCACATTCTGTGTTCTGATTGGGTAATACTCATAAACCAGGCAAGGATGGTGGCATGAATCCCAGTCCCTTCAAAGGAAACCTGTTTGTCATTTTAACCGCATATAAAAGTAGAAACAACGGCCAACAATAGCTGGCGCTAAAGTCGAGAGGGAAAGCCAAACTCGTCAACCTCTGAGGGTTTTTCAGCCCCTCTGAGCTTCAAACGGCGTCAGGAGATCCTCGGTTGGGATTTAACACATTTAACAGATGATAGTATTTTATCTCAAATTTGAACTTGACTTTTTCCGTGTAAATCATCACGTTGTCCTTTTTTCTGATGTCACATGACCCAGCCCTTGGTCAGCATCAGGCCCGGTGTGTCTGCAGCTGTCAGAGCGAATCAACCCATCTGTTCTTCTTGTGTTGCTACTGTAACGGAACGGAATGACTCTTATTTTTCCCTCCTCTGCACAAGACTAGTCTGCATGAGATATGGTCTCAAGGTCTCATGCATTCCTTCTGACCTGCTTATTTTCAGCTCAACAGAAGAACGAAGAATGAACTCTTTTCTTTTAATTAATCAAAGAACTCTATTTTAATAAAGCTAATCCAACCAGGTGTTAGTCAATAAATAAGATGTGACTGACCTGTGAAATCAAAATATTAATTACCTTATTATGATCCTATAGACTATAATAAGTAATATGACTTTAAATGTTCCAACAGGACTCATTTCACGTAGCGTTAAAAAGACATAACACATTACTTTCACTGATCCAATCAGAATCTTACAGATCTGACGAAGGCGTGGTTCTGATGGTGTTTGGTAATTTTCATTCGACAATAAACCATAACATCCGAAGTATAGAACTATGCCACGTCATCTCTAACGCCAGTTCAAAGCGTTCCAGAGAAAGTGACGGAGTGGCAGATCCTGATCTTTTAACTCTTTAACCGAAAGAACAAACAATAAGCTGAAAAATCCATTCGCTACACCAACCAGCGGCAACAATTCCTTTCAGAACAAAAGCTCCACCATCCGGACCCAGGCTTGGGTCTCACCAGATGCCAATAAACGTGTCGTGCGCCCGGAAGTAACTCAAGACGGGTTTGATCAGAACCGCGGCTTTTCCTACCGGCTCGGTTCCAGAGAGGGTTCACTGGACCTCGATGTTCCTGATCTACAGAGGACTTCCACCGAAGGGTAGGTAGACCGGCATAATGGTGTCTCATGTGTTTATGGACCTCCTAACCAAAGCTTAATGCGAAAACAACACCTTCAGTTCCCGTCAGAACAATCGCTTCTTTGGATTTGCTGGTTCTGATTAACATCGCACGTCATCGATTCACCGTCTCATCCACTTTAGTTACACCATACATTTAGTTTTAAAGTCAGTCTAGTTTAATTTGTTAGTAATAAAATTCTTAACTTTTAAACTTGACTCTCTCTATTCTGTTGTCTGTGAGTGAATACGTAACGGTTATCTAATCCCTGCAATAAAAAGATCCAATCTTCTGGTTTAAATAACTCACAGATCCGTAAGGTGGATTCCATATTTCCTATGGAATCCCACGCCTTATGGCTCATTAATTAAATGTAATTTTACTTCATTACACTACAGAAAAAGTCTAACTTCTAAAACCTGTCATTTAATCACAGCAAAGTGAAAAAGCTGCTGCAACAGCCACACAAACGTCTAATCCACGGAGCAGCATCTTCAGATCATCTCAGGCTCGGCCTGAACCGGGCTTCGCTACTCTTCATCGTCACGGTCGTCCCTGACTAGTGAACGTCAGGTCTTCGCCTTCCACTGGAGACGATCGCTGAGTCTAGGACTTGTTTCTAATTACAGAATCACAAACATCTGTGTTGTGGGATCAAACCTGCGTTGGTTTTCTTCTGAATGACGCTCACTCACCCCAAAGTTGGAGGCAGCAAACCTGGCTGGAGCGGAGACGTTAGTGGAGGCGGTGGGGTGGGCGTAGAAGGCATTGATGTTGGCCAGCAGGGTGCTCATCACCGCCGGCATCCCTGACAGCATGTACTTGGATGAAAGGCAAGAGAAGTGGCTGAGGGGGGAGAAGATAAGAGATCAGACGGGAGGCAGGTTGGGTCAGATGAGTTTACTCTAAGGCTGCTGGCGCTCCCACCTCCTTCGAAAGAGTAAAACACTCAGAGACCAGCGCTGAGTTTCATAAGGCAGCCATCTTTCCTTTAAGTGCTTTCAGACCTTCTGAAGCTCTTTTAGCTGTAACACTTTAAAACCATACTATCAGCAGGTGAACTCATCCTTACATGAAGATGCATCTTTTTTGAAGTTTTACTGGGAGAATCTCTGGTTTCTCCGAGCAGCTCAGCATTAACATAAACTTTTCACGTCTTTATAATTTTTCACTTCAGCTTAAGGAACATCCTCCAGCCTGAGAGCGTCACAGGCTTCAGTGTGCCCTCATTAGTCCCCCTGCCACCGCCTCCTAAAACACCTATAATGATGCGGCCACCTCCGTGTTTGACAGCAGGAGCGGGATAAACGAGGCACCTGGTTTTCTGAACACTCCAACTTTGTTCCATAATCCAGACCGGGCTGTGAAACGATACTCCAGGTGACCTTTTTTACCTGCTGGCTTGAGAATCAGCCGCAGGAATTAGCTAGAGGAACAAAATGAGTTAAATTTAAAGTCATCTGGTCTCCAGAAAGTCTTAATAACAAAAATGATTATTAATAATACAAAAGTTACAAAAGTTACTTCTTTTGAGTATCTTGTCCATTTTCTTGCCTTTTTTTAAATAATTTTTTAAGATTTCTTGAGATTTAACTTTTCATTTTTAATAAACGAAGTACTTTAAAACACAAAACGGCATCTTCATACAAAAGATTGCTGCACAAATCCAAACCTGAACGACTGAGAGCAAAGTTAACAGAAGCCGAAACATCCAGAATCTAATCTGTGAGAATAAAATTGATTTTTATTGGATTATCTTCAGTTTGGGTAAAATGTGATTTTGCAGGTTGGTGGCCGGTTTGCCAGCGTTAAGTCTTTATCTGTTTTTTTACTCCATCAAACAAGCAGAAGCTTGAGAAGAAACAGCCTCACACGCTCAAACCTTGTATGTAAATCAGCCTGTAAGCGTGTCAGAGGAGTGCATTCAGTCCAGATGATTCACTTTCCTTCCATCACGCAGCAGAGGTGGCAGGTCACCTTTTCTCATTAGATGTGATAAACTAGTTTGTCTTGTGTTTATAGATCATGAACACACACACACACACACACACACACACACACACGCACACACGCACACACGCACACACACACGCAGGAGCACAGACATGCATGCACACACACCCACGCATGCGTGCACACACTCACACACGAGCATGCACACACCCACACACACACGCAGGCGCGCACACACTCACACACGAGCATGCACACAATCACACACGCGCGCGCACACACACACACACACACACACACACACACACACACACACACACACACACACACACACACACACACACACACACACGCACACATGCACACAGACACACATGCACAAGCACACACATTCACACACGCACACGTGCACACACACACACACACGTATGCACGCACGCACACACACACGCATGCACACAGACACACATGCACAAGCACACAC